ATCGTGTTTGTGCACTGCTTAAGAGTTTCACAATAGGAAGAAATGGCCGTCCAGTGCTTACAGGTTTTCCATGGTTGTTTAGCTTCAATTAACTCATGATCTGAGCCATTGAAATTAGTATAATATCCACAAAAACCCCTTCTGATATTTGAATGTAGTTTCATGAATATATATTTTACTCAAATGGTAGCATTTGCAATAATAGTGTTTTAAATTCAAAATATGATCGACTTATACACAAAGGATCTTAATGCTTAGGACTTGTATCAATCTGAGATTCGATAAAGATTCCTTAATCTTACAAAGTTTAAATCGTATTCAAAGTTTTAGATTGATTTCGATGGAAAAAAATAAAAACTTTTATGCATGTGAGGAAAGACTAATCAACAATGCCGATCTACGATTAAGGTGAACCATACTAAGATAAAACAATTGTAGAATGCATTCTGATTGTCGTTCAAGGTCTAGCTTAGATTAGTCTATGATCTCCAAAAACTCCCCTATACATGTAAGAATAACGAAAACTTCCAGTTATCGTTTATATTCGATTTCTTATGATTTCATAGCTCAGTGTTCAATATTATTCAAATAGGATCTTGTATGAATGTAGCAAACGTTTGATTTATAGTCTATTTTCTGGAATATAAAGTCTTTCTATGATAGATCCCATGGCTTAGATTCTTCATCTGAATCCAAATAGTCAGACATATTTTTCACAACAGAAAATTGTTACTCTGGGCCAGCTAGACGGATCAAATTAGAAGTGAGAGATACTGACGGATGTACATCATTAGTCAGGATTTGGCTTACGTTTCTGGGGAAACAGATATGTGCTATTGGCTAAAAAATATGATGGAACATTCCATCGGACATGTAGTAATATTTATGAATTCATTTAATACACATTTCCTATTCGGTTTAGTCAACAAAAGCTTCTTTTTTCTCACTCATGTAGCTGGTTGAACCTAGGCATAAAAGTGTTGATACTGATACGCATTCCTTGCACACATATATATACGCCAAATTGGTTATTCAAACAAAAGACAAGGAGTGAAGAGTAAGTTTTTGCTTAGACCTAAATGATTTGTACATACACTCATTGATATAAACATAAATTGGTCTATCCCACAGAATACTACTCTACTTCACTCATTTTTCACCAACCCAATCACACTTGATGGAGAACCTACGGAAGATGTGGAAACATTCAAGTACCTAGGAAACATCATCGATGGACAGAGATGATCGAAGGCAGACGCAAAGGCAAGGATTAGTAAACCGGGGTCGCATTACTACAGTTTAAGAGCATATAGAACTCTAAACAACTGTCTGTCAACCAATACAAAGTCAGAAGTCTCAATACGAATGTCAAGACACTTCTACTGTATGCAGCTGAAGCTTGGAGAATTATTACAGCCATCATCAGGAAGGTACAAGTATTTATAAACAGTTGTCTACGTAAGATACTCAACGTCCGTTGACTGGATACCATCAGCAACAGCTGACTATGAGAAAAAAGATCGCCTTCCAGATGAAAAGGAACTTAGAAAAAGAAGTTGAAATAGGATAGGACATACTTTGAGCAAATCACTAAGCAAGCTCTAACTTGGAATCCTTAAGCGAAGTGGAAAAGAGGAAGGCTGAAGAACACTTTAAGTCAGGAATTGGAAACAGACATGAAAAGGATAGATAGCAACTGGAAACAACTGGAAATGTTTGTTTAGGACAGAGATGGATTGAGAGTGCTGATGGGCGGCCTATGTCCCTTAACGAGGAGTAACAGGCGTAAGTGAGTCACTCATTTTTCCTTGTTAAAATATCTGTTAAGTACGTCTTTTCTATTTAGCATCTCTTCACAATATCACTTTCTTAATCATGTGGAACATATTTATTTAGGTACTCGGTTGTACCAATACTTGTATGAAATAATGAAGATGAATAAAAAGTCCTCATTCTAATAAAAATCACCATGTGCTCACTACTGACTACATTCAAGATGGATTTCTTCTAGTTCTAGTGAGAAGTCGTGATAAATGGAGTCCAGTTCATGTCGAGTGTGAGACAGTCAACCAACTCAAACAATGAATAAATGATTGAGCAAGATCATGGATCGATTGAAGTTAGACATTAACAACGTTGAATGACGACTTAGTAATATAGAGATTAAGCGTTTATTCATGAGATTGGGGTTTCTGTGTAGAACTCCATTTGTTTCGGGATCGTAGATGAGCACTATTGAGGTGTCTTAATGTTAATCTATTCAAAAATAATCTGTTTCGAAAACTATGTTTTTCAATTATCTTACTATATTTTGATTCCATTGTTAGTCAAGTACCATCTTTTCTATATTGACTTATTTCATAATGGCTACTTCAAGGCAATACACACAGGATACACATATCCCAGCTAAGATTGAGTACTATCTGAATTTTAATTGTATACAACAAGATTAAACAATATTTAACAAAATACAGTGCCGACATTCATAGTTTTATTAATGGCGCGAGACTGATTGGTCCTGGGTTCGAATCCTGCGAGGCGGGGTCGTGGGTGCGCACTGCTCAGAAGTCCCGCAATAGGACAAAACGGCCGTCCAGTGCTTCCAGGTCTTCCGTGGTGGTCTAGCTTGAACTGACTCATGATCTCAATTACTGAACTTATCATAATTAAACTACTATTGAAAAACAAGAAGTATTGGATAACCGTTTCATCCTAATGAAAGATTGCTCAAAAAATTCTCATCTAACATTCCTCTACACAAAATTAAGTAATATATCTTTGTTAAGAAAAGATGAACAGTGGCCAGCAGTAGAATCCAGGACGCTCATTTCGTCCCATATGAAACTCGTCAGTCCGATATACTTGATATTCACTCTGTGACTCGAACCCAATACCGTTCACTTCAAACGCTATCACGTTTATCTACTTAGCAACTGAGTCCTGATAGCCACTAGCTTGTGTAGTGGAGTGAATTTAAAATTTACTTTGCTAAAAATCTTTTGATTTAAAGCTATATCGAGACAATCCGCGCAAGATGCACATATATCAACAAGTGATTAATCAACTGCAGTCCTTAACAATAATGCGAAGATATAAGTAAAACAATACTAAGTGAATTAAACTTCACCCCATTGCACAAGCTAATAGTTATCAGGACTCATTAGCTAAGTGGATAACGCGATAGCGCTAGAAGCGAATGGTACTGTGTTAGAGTCCAAGAGTGAACATCAACTCTGAGATGCAGGTACTGGATTCCACTGTTAGCCACTACCCATCTTTGCTTATATTGCTTGTAAATTAAGGCAATATGGAAGCAATACGCACAGTATGCACATATACTAATAAGAGATTGATCAATCGCAGTTCTAAACATCAATGGGTAGATTCAAGTAAAACAATATCAATTGAATTTAGCTATACCATTGATTTAATTAACTAACCCTTAAACGTTAGACCATTAAGTCAACCTCTAATTGTATCCATACCAAACTTTAATCTTTTCACAATAATATACAATCACATTCTATTACCTGTTTTAGGTAACGATCTTTTATTTACTATCTGAGATAATGGAAAGAAAAGTTCATTTTCGATTGATTTACTCATTATAAGTTTTGTAATTCATTGTAATGATTACTCAGTATATGATTTATTATAACTCGAAGTATTTTTCATATATATGATCTCATCCTAATTATTAATCACAAAATATGTGTACAAATCAATATATAAACGAATGTACTTTCAACTAGGGTTGTCGTCGTCTTGATTTGGGGTCAATAATTCTTCACTTATACCAGTCTTTGTGTCCTTACTTTCGTGTCGTGAGAATTGCGGAGGTCCTTGGTTAGATTTCTGATAGGATTGTGGATGTACACTGCTGGTCAGTCCCATAATAGGAAAAAGCGACTGTTCTACGTTTCCAGAATTTCAGTAGCTATCTAACTTGGATCGGTTTGTGATCTCACTAAATTTTAACTGGCTGCATAAACCTTATTGATAATAGATTATCTTGCGAATCACCAAGTGTTTCTACGGATTTTGTTATTGCTGAAAAAAGGAATTCGTGCCTTGTGGGAAAGGGAAAACGCTTTTCCCGATAGTGACTACAAGCAGGATCCAGGATGAGCAATTCATCTTATCTGGGACTTATCATATGGATGTACCCCTATGCGATACTAAAAATCATACTTGGACTCGAGCACAGTACTCTTCACATCAAACACTTAACGTTTTATCTAACTAGCTACTGGAAATGAACCAGATCAATAAATCTTCATTAATACTAATCGTTATGTTCTTACTTTCATATTGTTAAAATTATAGAAGTCTTTCGTTTCTAGTATAAATGATAAACATTTCTAACATAACAATCATCGATGATCATATATAACAAGTAGCATTCAATTGACTCATTGATGAACACGGTGGATCTGATGCAGATGTAAAGGCACGGATCGGAAAAGCAAGAGTAACATATTTACAATTGAAGAGCATCTGCAACTCAAAACAACTGTCTGTCAACCAACACCAAATTCAGAATTTTCAATACAAATGTCAAGAGAGTTCTACTGTATGGGGCGGAAACTTGAAGCCATCATCCAGAAGATACAGGTGTTTATTAACAGTTGTCTACACAAAATACTTCAGATCCGTTGGCCGGACACTATTAGCAACAACCTACTATGAGAGAGAACAAATCAGATTCCTGTGGAGGAAGAAATCAGGAAGAAGCGCTGAAATTGGATATGACTTACATTGAGGAAAGAATTGAATGGCGTCACAAAACAAGCCCTCACATGGAATCCTTAAGACCAAAGAAAATATAATTATCAAGGAACACATTAAACTGAGAAATGGAGACAGACACGAGAAAAATGAACAAAAATTGGATAGAACTGGAAAGGAAGGCCCAAGACAGAGTGGGTTGGAGAATAATGGTCAACGGTCTATGCTCTAATAGGAGTAACAGACGTAAGTAAGTAATTCAATTGACTTACCGATTTTGTTATAGAATGTGTATACTGACTTATTCTATATTGGATTTCAGCATTTTTTCCAATATCTTTATCAATTGCATGAAATTTTGTTATAACATAACCAATCGGTGCATCTTCACAGACTTCTATCAATAAGGGATCATTTGATTGATATAATACTTCATTACTACTATGATTATTATTATTATTATTATTGATTAAAGTGAATTCAGGTTTACAATCATTGACATCTTGTATATATATAATTAATGGTAAAGTAGTTGTATGTTTTATATCATTTAATTGATAATAATTATCTATAGCTAATAAATTTAATTCATATTTATTGATTTTTTCACGATCTAAATGATGATCTAATTGTATTTCTAATATATCATGATTATTGATTTTATTGAATATTAAACTAAAATCATTAATGGATTGATTATTGATTAATTGATTAGAATTAATGAATGAATGATATTTCATAGAATCAATCCATTGTAATTGATAAGTAATATTTGAATAGAAACACATATCATAATCAATAGCAATTGGTAATTGATATCTAGTACCAATTAAATCATCTTCCATAAAATTAATTTCATATTTATTAAATAATTGAAATATTGGATAATTATCATTAATATCAATTAATTTAATATGAATTGTCATAATTTCTATACCAATTTTTAATAAATTCATAGCAATTGTTATAGTAAATTGACAATATGGTAAATTCAATTGATTTAGATTGGATTGATTATTGATTATTGTACAGGTATTTAAAAAACAAAAACATGTATTGATTTCTTTTAATAGATGATTATGATGATGATCATGATCATAATCATGATCATGATACCAATGACATAATTGATCACGATCTAATTTTTTAATTTGTATTAATTCTTGTTTAAATAAATTATAATAATTAATATGAAAATATTTAGAACTCCATTGATTTGATGGAAATAAATATAAACGTGGTAATTCATTATTATTATTATAATAATAATGATGATGATCAGTATTATTATAATTATTATTGATTATTTGATATTGATTAGCAATTAAATCAATACTTAATAATTGTTTACTTTGATTAATTGTATTCATTCTTAAATTATTATTATTATGATTATTATTCCATGATGAATCATTTAATATATAATTTAATAAATAATTAGTTAATTGAAAATCATTTATTAAATTACCAATAAATTGTGGAATATTCGATTCTTCAATAAGTGTATAAGTTATTTGTTTATTGAATGTTTTCAATGATATATCTTGATTCCTTTTCTTGTTCTTGTTCTTGTTGTTCTTGGTGTTGTTGGTGGTGTTGTTGGTGGTGGTGTTGTTTTTGTTCTTCTTCTTATCATTATTATTATTGATTTTGTTTATTGATGATTGATATGACAAATCATTAGAAGTATTCAGTGATATAGATGATAAAGCTTTATGCTTAGATGGACCAAATACATTTGAAGTTAATGATGAAGATGATGATGATGATGATGTTGTTGATGAGCACAGTAATAATAATGTAGACGAAATATAATTCAATGATAATGAATAAATTGTTGAATTAAATATATCTAATCTTATAAATAATAAAAACATAATCACTTGTATAAATTTACATGATCTCATCTATATATTTAATAATTATAATTAAAAAAATTGTATTATCTTATCATAATTCATCATGTTAACATTGTCATATTTTCTTTTCTTCTTTTTCTTCTTCTTCTTCTTCTTCTTTGTTTACTTCTTCTTCTTTTTTTATTTCTTCTTTTTTCTTTTTTTCTTTTTTCTTGTACTTCACTTTATGTTTTGTTATTTTGTTTTGATAAAGTGTAAATTTCAATGTTGTCTTTAATGAAAATTAGTAGTATAGAACATAGATTGTCCTGTAGAATAGAAAAACACAATATACAATTTACATTGGATAAGATATTGTTTCTATATTATGATCATTATTATTGGGTAATAATTTTTTTAAAAAAAAAAACTATTTATGGACATTATGAGTATGAGAATACGCTCCGTTTGTTAAGTTTACCATTGAGATCATGAGTTGAATGCTATTAGATCATTATTGGGAACTTGAAAGAATTGAATGATTGTTTCATTGTATTTTGACACTATTCAACATTCCATATCCATAATGCTATTAGAGCAATTCAAGCACAGTGCTTAAACTCTACACCATTAAACCGATAACAAATGGTGGTAATGTCTAAGTTTAACCAATTCATGAAATGGCGTGATCATCACCTATTGTACTGAGATAGATATCTGACATGGATAAGCTCTATATATTATTGCAATAGTTATATGTTATATCTTGATAAGCATAATGAATGGTAAATGTTGGAATCTATTTATGGACAAATACTATCAGTATAATTTCATCGTATAACTGTTAAATGACTAAACTATTCATATTCATATTCCTCTTATTATAAGCTTTAATACGATTTATCATTCTTGAATTATGCCCTGCTTATTAGTCACTGCCTCCCACATTCACAGACACTTTTGGCCAAATTTTGTACAAATGTTACTTACCATTTTATGGTACGTTGTGGTCTGTTTGATTGGTATATAAACCCAGTATGTTTGAAATGCATGATTCATATCATAGAGGCTGAGATTAGTATTCTGGACTTAACAAGCAGAGCTAGGTGGGAAGTAGGATCTCTAAGGATTCTAGACTGCTCGTATGGTTTTTCTACGTCATTGGTCTAATCGATAATTCAGTGTTCTCAAATTGGCGGTATCATTACGCTATACATCAACGGGGAAAACAGGCCACAAATTATAACATTATATGACATTTTTTCCATATGCATTCATTCTGATGACACATACAATTTATAAGTATCCATACCAAGGTTGAACTTGATCGTTTCAATTAAGTGGAGCATTAGGTAGAAAGTTAGTAAGAAATATATTTTTTGTTATATCCCAGTGAGTAAGACATTGTATTTCTGACGTTTGATAACTTCACGCAAACCACTTCTTCAAATCAAATACATAGCTGACTATTTGTTTACTCTGAAGAAGTGGTTTACCTTAAGTCACAAAATGTCACAAATACAAATTTTCTACTCATTGAGATATAACAAAAAATATATTTATGATTATATGAGCTCTTAGTAACCGAATTCATTCATAAAACTACAATCTAACGCGTATATGGTTAGCAATCTCCTATAGGATAGATTAGCGAGGATCTTGCATTGACACTTTCTAGTAGATCATTGAAATCTATTCAAGGTTATCTGAGTTTATCTCTCCGATGTGCATCTACAAATTCAGTTGCTGTTGTGGAGATAGCTATATTAGGCATATTACCAAGTAATTTAAACAAAGAATAAGCGAGCATTTCTCGGCTTGGTTTGAAAACGGATAGACACAACTCCAACTTGACAAACCTGGTTGACAGTGATCATATGATAAATAAATTTTAATCCTTTAGAATGATTTATTTTGTCTCCTACATATAGCAGAAGCCATGGGGAACAAGATCTATAGCCCTAGTTAATCTGTTTAAAAGGAATTCGTGATATACCTATACCTTCCTTGACTAAATATGATACCATGTGTTTATTTATCATTTTTCACTTCCTTTCGTTTATATTCTCCACAAAATTGCACACTCGTTATTACGTAATTTAATAGCGTTTTGTGATTATTATTATTATGATGATGATCAGAATGAGGTTTGTGGAGGTTGTAGTCATTTAAATAGCTAGACTATCACCGAAAATCTGAAAGCGCTCGACAGCCGTTCCGTCCACGAGTCCGCACGCAAGACCAATGGATACCTATCAGTGTCGGTTTAAGACAGATATCTAACTCAAACAATGGATAAATGATTGCGCAAGATCATGAGTCGATTGAAGATAAATATCAACATCGTTGGATGTCAGATCAGTGGTTTAGATGTCAAGTATTTACGCGCCAGACCAAAGACTCTGGGTTCGAATCCCGTGTGCGGAGATCATGGACGTGCACTACTCAGTAGATTTACAATAGGAAGAAACGGCCATCGATTTCTCCCACGTTTTTAATGGTTGTTCAGCCTACATTGACTCATAAATTCAACCATTAAAATTATCATTATCATTATTATGTCTATTGATCCCCAATTGATCTACTTCCTGTATTGAACAGTTAACTATACTGTTTTTATTATCCTGATCACAATTACCAGTACACCTATCCTCTAACTATTAATTTGCACTTTTAACCCAATATGTGTAGTTTTGCAATGTATTTCACCCTGATCACTGATTTAATTTAAAAAATTTGATAGATTAATAAATTCTGTATCTCATGTCAATCATCAATCATGTTTCACCGTCAAATGATCAACCTATAAAACCACAAGCCAAAACCTCCTGAACCAATAAAACGAAGGGGAAGCATATTCAAATATACTTTGAGTCAGCTTGTATAATAGTTGTGCATAGAACATCCATGAAATATTTGATTGAATGAAAGGTCATGTAAGCAGAAATGGATGATGGCTAGTAATAGAATAAAGAACACTCGTTTCATCCTATTTGAGATTCGTCACCTGTATATACCTACATCACACACTTGGTGTTCATTCTAGAACTCGAACTAAGTACTGTTCGCTTTAACTGTGATGGCGCTTATATGTACATCCATTTGACGAGTCCCAAATTAAACGAAGTGCAAATCCTCAATTCCATAACTTACCATCATCTAATTCTGCTTATAATGCTTGTGATCTAAGGCAATATCAAGGCAATCCATATATGATGCATATATGTCAATAAGAGACTGATCAATCGTAACTATAATTATCAATGAGACGATTTAAACAACCAATACAAAAATGAATTAAAGGTCTTATAGTTTGAATAAAAACCGTGCAAATTCAATTTGTCATGGTTAATAGTTACTTATTAGTTTCTATCAATATTCTTTTTGCCTCAATGAGCAATTGTCTCATCGAAGCAAATATACACGATCTATATTTAGTAAGTAGTCAACATAAATAAACATGTTCTGTATAATTTACATAATAACTGAAACCAACTTTATGGTAAACATTTTTGGCGAGACTATAATTTACGGACGAGTCAATCAGAAGCGTTTTAAGGGATTTCAAGGTTATGGCGCCAATTTCAGTACCTGATGCTCACGCACGATCGGTTCATAGTGGATTTTAGAGAAAACATGATAATTGAGCGGATACAAAAAAAATTGGACTATTAAGAAGTTCCTTTATTTGTAATTTTAGTAATCAAATGACTTGTGAACGTTGTGTAGACTATTATGATGACATTGTCTTTCGATGTTGGAGGAAGAAGTCTGATGAGCAATCGTTGCAAACTGAATAATAAAAGCATCAGTAACACTGGCTGCAGCCAGGTACGACAATACATACGGATGGTTGGATAGCGTACAGATTCCTACGTAGACTTGATTATGTGCAACTTGTCGTTGTCCACAAGCTGCAATTTTTGTACCCAACATTAAAAGTGCACACAAACAATATTGAAGCTATGTGTTCGAGGCTGAAAGAGCTTTTTCGACCTTTTATAGCTCCACAGGCCGACTATTATGGAGACGTATGGATGATTTCTTCTACCATATGAATTACGATTTTAGAACCTCCAAACTATTACAAACGTTGATAAGTTTTTGAACCATGTAAATGAAATGTATCCATTTTAATTCTTTAGTTATTTATAACATATTTTCACTCTAGACTAACTGTTTACTGATTGGTTAACATTTCACAAGGTCGTTCAAAGGTCGTTCATAAATTAAAGTCTCGCCAAATTTTCTTCGTATATCTATGATGTAACATAAGAAGACATGTAGAAATATAATTGAATGTTCAATGTGTCACAATTAATTTCAATAATGAAATAGTTTGTAGAAACAATCAATATCAATTATGTATTGAAAAATTTGGTTTAAAGCAAGACTAGATGTTTGTTTTATGGCCATAAAGATCCCTGGTAAAAATATGCAACTAATCCATTAATATCAGAAAGGGTTTTGTGTATATTATAGTAATTTCAATGATTGAGATCATGGGTTAGTTGAAGCTAGACCACCATGAAAAACCTGGAAGCACTGGACGGTCGTTTCGTCCTACTGTGGGACTCCTCAACAATGTGCATACACGATCCCGTCTCGCGAGATTCAAACCCAGCACCTATTGGTCTTGCGTGCAAAGCGGTTAACCACTAGACCACTGATCCGGCCGGTATCCAACAGTGTTAATTTCTAGCTCCAGCTATTCCACGAAATCGCACCACCGTCCACCATTGTCATCATAGAATTATTATTTCACAACAGACCCGGTTGAACTCCAGTGGTCACTGCATCTCACTAGGATTCCAGGAAATACCTCCTGAAGCCAGTCACTAGTAGATGCGTACTGCTGAGGAGTCCCACACTAAGACGAAATGACCTTTCAGTGCTTCCAGGTTTTCCATGGTGGTCTAGCTGCAATTCACTCATGATCTCAACATCTATTTCTGTAGAAGAATGTATATATATTACCTAATATTTGTTTTAGGTATTACATTTTAACGAAGTTTCATCTTCAACTGATTATACTTTCTAAAATTCATAGTAAGAACTTAAAACATTAGATTACGTATCTAGACACTAGTCAGCGTGTCATTGAAATCATGAACTGACCACTATCGATAAGCTAGGAGTAATGATCAGTCGTTTCATAACAATTTAGGACTCCTCAGCAGTGTAAATCTACCATCTCGCACGCCGTAATCAAAACCAAAACATTTATTCTTAGTGATTTCAATGAAATTCAACAATTTCCACAACATCTATCTGAAAATAATCAATATTGACTAATCATATTCAGTATTGAATGAATTCAGTAGAGAAA